ATTATTTAGATAATCCTATTTAATTGACTACATTTAAGTAAATGTTGCAGAAAAAAGAAGATATAAATTTTATATTAATAATATTTGATTATAAAATCAAAATAAAATGAAAAAATGAATAAAATTTAAATCTTATTGTTACTGGTTCGATTCGCCTTGAACAGTTGGTATCTGAGAATTTTTATACATATATAATAAATTATAATGATGTATGTATTTTATTATTTTGAAATATAATCATTTGTAACTATCCTTCGGTAAACGTTATTCTATCCATGTTTTTTTCTATCCATATTTTGTTAAAATGCTGTATTTCATAATAATTTGAAGAATATATTTTTGCAAATCTTGATTTTGTATACTATAAAATTATGATTAATATCGATTAAGTTATCGTTAAAATATTCGGTAATTGCATAATATTTGCATCATTTGTAAAAATTTAGGAAAAGGTGACAATTGTTAATTCGTTACCAAGATAAGCGCTATTATAAGAACAGTCCGAAAAATTTAGAATTGATTTCCTTCTGCAATGCAGTTCTTAGTCCAACGAATCACTTAATTTTTTTTCGCATTGATGACGTGAAACTTGACGAGAAGCAGAGCACAGCTCGTTCTTCGTGAAGATCATTTTTCTCTCTATCGGATATTATTCAATGTCTTACTCAGAAAGAGGTCTCATTATTGGACTTTATTTTCTATTTAACGCAGTATTTCCTCGCGATTTTTTAGAGACTCATAAAGTTATCTCTCTGTTAAAAGTAAAGCGAGAAATAGATTTATATACATGCGATTAAATCGTTTAATTCGTTCCATTATATTATTTGAATCATAGATACGATATTGCAACTCATTTAATAGTTGTTAAATAATGTTTTTATTACAGAGAAATTTTTATAAAGAAATAATAATTATAGAAGATGCGTTGCAAAATTAAAAATTATATGTATTGAATTAGATTATTTCATTCGTCACATTGTCTTGTATCGAAGTTTCGCATACTTTTTTGCATGTTGCACATTTCTTTTGTATTTTGTAAAATGTATAAGTTACATATATATAGTTAATAATTGACATTCTTTTTTATTGAAAGAGATATATAATAAATTTACTTTTGGTTATGATAGCTCGCTAAATAAAAAAAAAAGCAAAACAAATTTTGCAGTTATATTTGATAATTAATAATAAAGTAAGCTAGTAATAATCATTTGTCGATTGGATGTAGCCACATATTTCACATCGTGAGAATTTTGTGCATACCGAATGTTTTTTCTGTAATTTTATGTTAAAAAGAAATTTTACGCGTATACATATTGTACATTATATAATATTTTCAATTTTATAATGTAATTTTTTTGCAATATGTTATGTGTAATGTAAAATAAATTGTATGAAAATGTAAGTAATAAAAATGTAAAGAAATATACCATAAAATGGGATAAGTTTCTTTAGCCTCTTTTGTAATTCTTACAATTAACGACAGTAACTGTAAATATCGTTATATATTGTCGTTGAATAGATTTCATACTTGAAAAAACTACGCAACGACACTGTTATTACAGTTACAAAATAAAACTTTCGTTCCAGAAACTTTGACACAAATTATAAAAATACACATGCAATACATGCCCAAAATCATGACAGATTCTTAAAACTTCTTCTTTAAGACACAAAATTCGATTCAATTCTTTATATTAAGATTATGTTTTTAAGATGTCAAGTTCAGATTTTGCTCCATTGTCAAAATTTGGACTAAATTAATTCTGATTTTGGACGAAAATTATCCCATTTTATGTAAAAGAAAAAGGACTGCTGATCGGATGGGCCTCTATAAATTAACTTTTTACTAAATTATATGAAAAACGTATATGCGTGATTCGAGTGTAATATATTTTATGACTTTTTTGTATGTTGGTTTAAAAGTTAAAGAAAAAAAGAAAATGGAAGAACTGAAATAATAAGCTGACGTATTGTCGTTATTTGATATTAAAATGATGTCTTCAATATCGTTTTGATATCAAATTACGACAAATAACGTGAACTTGAAGTAAAAAAAAAAAGAGGATTTTATGTGATAATGTCGATTATAATTGACGGGGATGAAGGCCTCTACAAGTTAAATTGTATTTGTCACATAATCTGAAATATAAGCTCGGGAAAAAATATTTTATATATAATTATATAAATGGACATTTATATATATATTTTATATATAATTGTATACAATTATATATAAACTTACATACAAAATTACATAGAATTATATATAATTATATATAAAATATTTTTTCCCAGGAATTTGATTATAACATACTTTATGATTTTTTTGCAGAAGTGTGTATTAAAAGTAAAAAGAAGAAAGAATCCTCAAGTAACAAGCTGATGTTATTTGTTGTCATTTGACAGCAACATAATGACAAATAATATTAGTTTGCTAAAGTCAAATGCTATAAAATTCTTATAAGATTTTACAATATAATTTATTTATATATTTAGATCCATA